AAGAAAGCAAGCAGGAAAACATCACTTGGAATTCTCTTATCTGCATGAAGAGATGCTGAAAGATAGAGCAGGCACATAATCCAGCAGTGAGATTCTGCAGCAAAGTGGAACCTGCCTCAGGTACAGCTCCAGGCACCACTTCTCTTTAATTCTTCCTTCATGAAAAAGCACCTGCTCGGGGTGGAGGAGACTCRAGAAGCAGCAAAAGTGGAAGTGACACTTTGTGACTACCAAAACAGGGAAGGAACCTGCGTGACTAAGCACTGGGGTGCTTCTCTGGAGGCTCACAATGTCCATTTTCTGATTTACTGGGTACCAGCTCCTGTGTCACTCCAAGGATTCCATTCTCGGGGTGCAGAGGGAGCTGCCCACAAAGATGCTGCCCCCATTTGCTGCTCCATGGCTCATTCTGTGATCCTACAGGCTGAGGAAACACCACAGTTGGATCCGCCACAGACCCTGAACAGGACACCCCCACAATCCCACAACAACTGGGGTGGGAAGGGACCTCTGGAGATCCCCCAGCCCAACCCTGCCAAGGCARGRTCAYCTGGAGCAGGGGACACAGGAACACATCCCRGTGGGTTTGGGATGTGTCCAGAGGGAAGGATGTGACCTCCCTGTGTAGCTGTTCCCATGTTCTGTCACCCTCCATGGAAACAAACTCTTCCTCGCATTGARGCAGAACTTTTTTTGAGTTTATGGCCACTGCTCCTTGTCCTATKACTGGGCACCACCAAAAAGGGTCTGGCACCATCTCTGACCCACCCTGGAGATATTTGTATGGGTTGATGGGACTCCCTCTCAGTATTCCCTTTCTCCAGACTAACCAGGCCCTGCTSCCGCAGTCTCTCCTCACAAGAAAGATGTTCCAGGCCCCTGCACCTTGCTCACGGCATCTAAAACTTTTTGCTGCAGCAATCCAAAGGTGAACTCTTTCTGCACCAAAGCACAGCAACAAGCACTCTCAAAATGTGTGCAACAACAAGTGATATTGCAGTTTACACACAGTGATTCCTACACCTGTATCCGACAGACACAGCAAGACTCAGTTAATCCTGTGAATTGCTTATAAAACAAACCCTGCTTCCCAAGTTCTGGRTATGTCACAAATATATCACTGTCCTGGGAGACAGGCAGCCCCTGTGGCTGTCCCTGGATCCTTGGAAGTGTCCAAGGACAGGGTTTGGAGCAGCCTGGGACAGTGGAAGGTGTCCCTGCCCATGGSAGGGGGTGGAACTGAATGAGTTTTAAAGTCCTYTCCAAACCAAAGCACTCTGGCACTTTATGATAGAGCACAAAACATAGAATCTGGAATTTAAAAACATAGCTCACAAGACCGTCTGAGTGCTTTGGTGAGTGCATTTTCAAACTATATTTAATACATCATCTTTTTAAAACCAAGGAACTTTCAAACAGCAGATCCTAGAAGAACTAGGATAAAAAAATCCCTACCAAGGCAAGTTAATTCCTACACTGTGCAACACAGGAAAGGCTTGAGTGCAAAGATGTCATCTTGCTGACCATAGAGCTCATTTAGGACCTGCAAAACCACTTACCAGGGCCCTACCTCAGCCTGCACACCACAGCCTGTGAGTCACCCATCCTAAATCTCCAGCAGCTTTTCAATTCCATCCCTGAACACATAATATATAAGAAAAATAACCCTCAGTCTGTGATTCTGATCAGAACACGTGGAAGGAGCAGGGCACTCCTGTTCCCTGGCACAAGTTATGTGCGGGCAGAGCCCCCGGGCACAGCTGACCGACAGCAGTGCCAGCTTTTATCTCAAAGCACAGGGAAGCAGGTGCAGCACACACAGCATTTCCACCTGGGCAGGTAGCATTGCAACAACGGTGAACTTTAATTTAATTTTAATTTAATTTWAGACACRTTYGACCCCAGCGCTGCARAACAGAGCAGCTGCCCACCTCCTTCCTGACTCGCCTCCACTGTGTCACCCCCGAGAGCCACAAAACAGACTGAAGGAGAAAATGACAGAATATTTGGGGTTAGAAAGGGCTTTTNTCCAAACCAAAGCACTCTGGCACTTTATGATAGAGCACAAAACATAGAATCTGGAATTTAAAAACATAGCTCACAAGACCGTCTGAGTGCTTTGGTGAGTGCATTTTCAAACTATATTTAATACATCATCTTTTTAAAACCAAGGAACTTTCAAACAGCAGATCCTAGAAGAACTAGGATAAAAAAATCCCTACCAAGGCAAGTTAATTCCTACACTGTGCAACACAGGAAAGGCTTGAGTGCAAAGATGTCATCTTGCTGACCATAGAGCTCATTTAGGACCTGCAAAACCACTTACCAGGGCCCTACCTCAGCCTGCACACCACAGCCTGTGAGTCACCCATCCTAAATCTCCAGCAGCTTTTCAATTCCATCCCTGAACACATAATATATAAGAAAAATAACCCTCAGTCTGTGATTCTGATCAGAACACGTGGAAGGAGCAGGGCACTCCTGTTCCCTGGCACAAGTTATGTGCGGGCAGAGCCCCCGGGCACAGCTGACCGACAGCAGTGCCAGCTTTTATCTCAAAGCACAGGGAAGCAGGTGCAGCACACACAGCATTTCCACCTGGGCAGGTAGCATTGCAACAACGGTGAACTTTAATTTAATTTTAATTTAATTTWAGACACRTTYGACCCCAGCGCTGCARAACAGAGCAGCTGCCCACCTCCTTCCTGACTCGCCTCCACTGTGTCACCCCCGAGAGCCACAAAATAGACTGAAGGAGAAAATGATAGAATATTTGGGGTTAGAAAGGGCTTTTAAAGGTCATGAGTTCAACCCCTCTGCCACAAGCAGGGACACATTTGACTAGATCACGTTGCTCAGARCCGGCTCCRGTCYGACACTGAAAGTTTCCAYCACCTCCCTGAGCAACCTGTTCCAGTGTTTTAACACCCTCACGGTAAAACACKTCTTAAACTTAACCTAAACCCATCCTCCTACAGTTTAAAAACATTAACCCCTGTCCTACCGCAACAGGTGCAGCTAAAAAGTCTGTCCCCAATTTTTTTTTTTTTTTTACAGACCCTCCTCAGGTACTGGAAAAGGATCTCGCGGAGTTTCTCTTCTCCAGGCCGAACAATCCCAATTCCCCCGCCCTTCCCTCCCCGCAGCGCTGTTCCATCCCTGTGACCAACTCGCTGCCCGCTCCAACAGGTCCTTGCCCTTCCTTCCCTCCAGGAAAACCCGCAGGACGCGACCCCCGCTCCCAATTCCAACAACTTCCCAACTTCCATCCCGCTCTGCCCCGCCACGGATCCCCCCGCGGGATCGGTGCCGCCGCGGCCCCGAACGCGGCCGGGAAAGCCCCGCGGCGGAGGAGCCGATCGGGTGGAACGTCCCGGAGGAGCCGCCGGCCCCGCGCTCACCTTGCTGCACGTCGCCGTTGGCGCCGCCGGGCACGGGCACGGTGAGCTGGCGCTCGGGCTCGGGCAGGCAGCGGCGGCAGAAGGAGTGCAGGCAGGGCAGCAGCTTGGGCTCGGCCTCCCGCCGGCTCTGCAGGCTCTGCGCGCACACCGCGCACGTGTCCAGCAGCGAGAACGGCGCCGGAGCCGCGGGCGTCAGCGGCGGCACCGGGCTAGGGCCGGGCCCCGCCGCCGCACCGGGCCCCGCCGCCGCCTCGGCCTCGGCCTCGCCGCCGCCGCGCTCCGCCGCCGCCGCCCCGGGGCTCTCGCGCTCTTCGGGCGGCGCGGCGGCGGACGGCGAGGCGGCGGGAGGCTCCAGGCCGCCGCCGCCGCCCGGCGCGGCCTCGGCAGCCGCGTCCCCACCGCCGCCGCCTCCTTTGTTTTCCGCCATGTTTCCTCCTTTGAACCCGACCCCCGCTCCGCGCACGCTCCGCGTCACCGCGTCACCGGGCGGGACCGGGCGGGACCGGCGCCGCGCACGCGCGCGCGCTCCCGCGGCAACGGCGCGGCCGCTGGGGCGRTGTGTGACGTCACGGGGAGGCGGGGCGAGTGGGCGGTGGCCGCGCCCAGGGSTGAGATTCTATTGGGCGGTGCTGGCGGGCGCCCAGCCAATGGCGGTGACGGCAAGGGGATGGCCACGCCCCCCGGGAACTTCCCCGGGAAGGGAAGCCGAGACAGGAAACGGAGCATCGGGACGGGGAATAACGAACCGGGCCGGGGAATAACGAACAGGAACGAGGAGTAACGAACATGGACGGGGAATAACGAACCGGGCCGGGGAATAACGAACAGGGACCGGGGAATAACGAACAGGGACGAGGAATAAAAAACAGGGACGAGGAGTAACGAACAGGGACCGGGGAATAACGAACAGGGCCGGGGAATTACGAACCGGGACGAGGAATAAAACAGGGACCGGGGAATAACGAGCCGGGCCGGGGAATAACGAACAGGGACCAGGGAATAACGAACAGGGACCGGGGAATAACCCATCGAACTGGGGAATAACGCACCAGGACGGGGAATACTCACCGGGACGTGAAAGGGGAATAACGCACTGGGACGGGAAATAACACACAGGGGCTGGGGAACAACGAACCGGGCTGGGGAATAACGCAACGCGAATAACCCATCGGGAGGGGAAATACCCATCGGGCTGGGGAATACCCCGTGGGGAGGGGGAATACCCCATGGGGAAGGGGAATAATGCACGGGGCYGGGGAAAAACCCTTCCCGACTGGAAATAACACACACGGGCGGGGAAATAACCCGTGGGGAAGGGGGAATAACCAACCCATAGGGACGGGGAATACCATGCGAGGATGGGGAATAACATGCTGGGCTGGGGAATAACGCATGGGGACGGGAATAACGCATGGGGAAGGGGAATAACACACCAGGATGGGGAATACTGCACCGGGATGGAAAACACCGGACCTGGACTGGGAATAACACACTGGAATGGTGGACAGAGCAGGGGGATGGGGAATGGCATACTGGAATAGGGAAAAGGACACTGGGACAGGRTGTCAGGCTGGGAATCAGAGCATGGGGACAGGGAATAGGGCATTGGGATGGGAAAGAGGAGGAATAATGCACTGGGATGAGGAACAGCGCAGCAGGTGGCACTGGAACCCTGCCTGTGGGCATTGAACAGCCCCAGTGCTGGGGAGACTCCCCCAYCCCAAATTCCAGTTTCCCCCACCCCTGCAGGGGATTCAAAAGCTCCATCTGCCTCAGCCACCTCCTCCACAGCTCCCAGGCTTTGAACATGAGGCAGAAACCAAACAAATAGCAAAACGAGATTTATTAAAGGCGCAGGGGGAAACACAAAAACATGAATCTTCTTCTAAGAGCTCCCACTTTAGGCAAAACAATTCACAGTATATTTAATTGWGCCTATAATACATTTAAACAGGATGTTTTGAGTCCACCCTACCTCCTCCTAGCATTTAAAACAAGGAAAAGAAACAATGGAAACACCCTTTTATCACCTCACACAATTGCAATTAGAGGTGTCTACAGACACACTGCATCTCCAGAGTCTCTGGTTTGTGGTTTTTAACACAAGCTGCACTAAGACAGTCAGGATTAAGTCACTGGAAGTCTTGCTGGATATTCTCCTTGTTTGCTTCYCCATGCTGCTGCTTGATTTGTGAAATTTCATTCTCCAGTTGCACAATAGTTCGTTCAATCTCATAATTTTTACTGACAAGAGAGACCCACCTGAAAGGAAAAGGAAAAAAAAAAAGAAGTCTTTTAAGTGTAATGTAACAGCCCTCTGGTTTAAAATCAGAGACAACTATTGCTCCAAAGAAAGCACAGACACCCAATAAAGCAGTATTTTAAATACCCAATAATCCTCAATTTACAATAACAGTTATGTGAACAACCAAAGTGATAATGAGTAATTTTTAACCCTGTTAAACAACATAAACATACAAAAAATTAAATGTCCTAGACTCATCCACTAACTGCCAATATTGAGATAATGAAGAGTTTAAGACAGTTTAGGCAATTTGAAGCAGCTAATAAATATACCCTCTTCCCATCTGTTGATTCACTCAACTTCAGTAACAATAATACAGAACCAAACTACAAATAACATTAAAACACTTTGTGCAAAGCAATGGTGACCAAGTGTTCACATCCTACAGCTGCACTGAATTTCAAGGGGAAGAAGAATTTCAAGTAAATTTCAAGAAAGGCTAAACCTGTGGAAGGACTATCAGAGAGAGAAATGTCAATACTCACGTGGATTCCATTTCTCGTAGCTTAGCCCCAGCTGTGAGCTGCATGTTTTTCCGCTGCCAGTTCAGGTCTTGAATATTTTTCCTGGGGAGAAAGAAATGTAATTTTTTTTCTCATTTCTTTAACATCTGCAGTACCTGTTGCTAATTTCCAAGTACACTCAATCCCTAGATGTACTACCAGAAAACATCARTGTAGCCAGAACTGAAATTACAACATCCAGATGGACAAATCCCAGTACAGGGCTCACACAGAACCCYGAGATGAATAAAAGGCCAAGCCCACCATCAGGGAATATCCCTTTGCAGAGACAACTGCACATTAAATTATCAGTAGTGAAAAGGAAGCATTACTACATTTCAGAGAGGACTACACAATCCATTCTACTCAGAGCAGAAATTCAGACAAAACAAAATAAAAACAAACAAATCAAACATAAAAAATTTTGAGTAGAACAGGTATTATGAATGTAATATGCCCTGGGGGAGGGCAGGGTCATATTTATTAATTATTGTTATTACTGGGTCTTCTTCTCTGTGACCATGGCAGCAGCATTTAAACCAGCCTTTGCACATCTTGTTGGGAGAGAAAAGATTCACTTCCAATTTCAGCACAAAAATATAAATAAGGATGTCTCACCTCAATTTCTGAAGCTCTTTCTGGGCTTGCTCTATCATATGAACCAGGTGTCTGATGACAGAATGCAAGCAAAGCATTAAAATCACACAACTGACCCATTTAAATCAGCCCCATTTAGTCTGACATTTCATTTCCCAGAGTAAAGGATTCAACAAGCACCTGCAACCCAAACACAGTCCCAACCAGCAAATCCTTTACCTGCTGCCCTCCTCCTGAGCTAAGGAACCCTCAGCCTTCTCTCTGAGCTGTTTTGCATGTCATTGGCCTGTTCCTTTACTTTAAGCTCAGCCAAACCTTCTCAAACGGGACATTAACATTCTCTGTCTCAACAGCTCCAATGCTTCCTGCAGCCATACTCTAGAACCTTTTCTTGGTTTTTGGAGCCACTTTAATAGGTTTTATTACAGCTCCAGGCTAAGCCCAGGATCTGTAGTAAGCCATCTTCATTTCTATTATTAAGTTGTTCTTTCACAGGCTGCCACTAGCCTTAATTAACACCCATTATCATCAACGAAACCCCACAAAATTCAAGATTGGGATGCATTAAAACATYCACTRTTTCTTRGCCACAGAGACCACTGCTTCTCTTTGAGATCAACCTCCTCCTTCACTCCCAGATCTCTCATAGGAGTTCATTTATTCCAGGCTATGTTCTAAAGATCCCCATAGACTAACACACGCAAGAAAAACACAGAAATTCAACTCAGAACTTTGTGCTCAGCAGAGCAGCTGAGGCCTTACTCATTGTACACCTTCCAGGCGTTGCAGCCGTGCTGGGACATGAGCTCCAGATTCTCGATGCGCACGGCCTGGTGCTCCAGCTGYGCCATGGAGTTGTTCACGCACTCTTGCCACGCCGTGATGTCGTTCTTCTGCCCGGAGGATGGGGCTGGCAGCTCGTACCTGCAACGGGCACCGGGCACTGCTCGCCGGGAGCACCGGGCACCGCTCGCCGGGAGCACCGGGCACCGCTCGCCGGGAGCACCGGGCACCGCTCGCCGGGGACACCGGGCACTGCCCAGGCCGGCCCCACTCACCTCTTCATACTGAGCAGCTCCAGGGGCTGCCGGGCTGCCAGGCGCTCGAACTCGTTCCGCATGATCTCGGTCTGCGGGGAAGGCAGAGGTGAGGCGGCGGGAGGGGACAAGGGGGGTACGGGGGGCGACACAAGCGGGGTATTGGGGGGACACACAGTGGGGTACGGTGATGGGGGCCCGCCCGGCGTACGGGGAGCCGGGTACAAGGTGGGGTCTGCCCGGTATATAGGAGCCGCCTCAGCTCACCTCGAAGGCGCTGTAGTCGTGCGCGGGCAGGTAGCTGAGGTAGTTCTTGGTCGGCCGGTACCGCCGCGTCTCCTCCTCCACCAGCGCCGCGGCCTAAYGCACACASAGYGTCAGRCGGGCAGTCCGCCCCGCCACCCCGRCCCCRCCCCGGCCACAGCCCCGACCCCGCACGCACCGCTTCCCGSACGCCCGGCGCCTCGTAGCCCTGGTCGAAGTAGGGCAGCGCATCCACCACCACGTCCCCGGCCACCAGCCCCGGGCCSGACATCTTGGCCGCGGCCGCGCGCTCTGCGCGTGCGCAAGGCTCCCGCCACGCCCGCTCCGCGCGCGGCTCCTGCGCAAACCCCGCCCCCTCCCATTTGGCTCCGCCCCTCCCGTCTGACCCCGCCCCCTTCCGTGCTGCTTCCGCCCCGGCCCCGCCTCTCCCCGATCCGTCCCCGCCTTTCCCGGTCCCGCTCCGCCCCCGCCACTCCCGGTTTGTCTCCAGCCCTGTCCCCGCCGCTCCCGGTGCGATCCCGACCCCGCTCCTGCCCCTCCCTGCCCGGTCCCGCTCTCCCGGAGCGACCCCAGCCCTGGTCCCGCCCCTCCCGCCGAGGCCACGCCCCCTTAAGGAACGGAGACACGTGAAGGGTTGGATCCATGAGCTGTTATTGATCCACGAGCTGCTATCGACTCATGGAACTCGTTATCGA